GAGTGCGGTGCGTTTCGGTACGAGTTTTATTTGCGACTGACTAACGGCTGGTTAAAGACCGTCGGTGATTGTCGCCTTTATTATATAAAAATATAGATAACCCGACCGGTCTCCATCACGAACAATAATTATTAGCTTTACCTGTGATAAAGCGACTCGTACCGAACATCTATAAATATGTCAAAAAAGTCAAAATATTTTGAAAATTAAATCATGTAAAGAAAATGCCAATCTAAATAACTTGTGAAATTTTCAAGAATCTACGAATTATACTTTTTGAATAATAACAAATATTTAAAATCGTTTGAGGATAAATCGTTACGCTATTTCGTAAAAATTTAAAATTCAAACGCACTTAAAATTTTTCTATAATGATGTTTCGAGTTTTATCTATAGCTACTTGAAGTAAAACTAATGGAGAACTTAGTGTTGTATTTTAGATTCTGAACGAAGTGATGAATGTATTGATTTTACAATGATGATGTGTGTTTTTTTTTTTTTTTCCGGTTTTTTTGTCATTTTTTTTTTCGTATTTCTCGATTTTTTTGAAAACAGTTGGAAAATATTTACTTTTGACCTCTATAATGCACCATGGATATTCAATTTTACATCGGAAACCACCCTCAAAGTTTAAAATTGAAGCATTATTTCGACTAGTTATGCTGTACACAGACACAAAAAAAAAAAAATAAAACACACATCATCAATGTAAAATCAATACATTCATCACTTCGTTCAGAATCTAAAAAATTTTACAGCAACTAAAAGAAAAAGCATTGCTGCAAATTAATAAAAAATATACAAACTTTCAAAACTTAAAATGCTATTGTCATTACATGTATGTAATTGAATTGTTGTTTAGAACAAAAATATTTAAAGAATGCAAATTAGAAAATTCGATGATTGGAAAAAGAAAAGTACAAAATGCAGATAAGTTACGTATTTTACAAAATAAATAATTWTAACTGTRATATAATATATACATTRTATATTATATTACAATGTCATATAATAACCATATCTAAAAATTTAACATTTTAAATTTAAAACTTTAAAGATATCGTATGATTTCTATCCCTGTTATTAAAATATATTATAACATTTTTATTTGTCTCCAATAGTATATTGTGTGGCAAGGGCGGGAAGTGAGCCATTTCAGTTGCGGGCGTCGTGTTAGGTTAGGTTAGCCCAAGACTGAAATGGCCTTCCCGCGCGAGCCACACATACTGTTTTTTTGTCACGCCCCTGCGTTCATGGAAAAGGTTATGCTCCCTGCAACATCATCTATGCAACAATTATAGACTATTCTACAAAAACAATTTCATGGAAGACATTTTATTTAATTTCAAAATTACAATTTTTACTTTTACTTAGTATATTTTATTATTGTAACTGATAAGATTATTATACTAATATACTATATTATTACTAACGCATCGTTCGACGCACTTATCTAGGAACAGTGCAAATTAAATATGTTTAAATGTTTATKCGTCATGCAAGGAGGTTATACTATACATTTAAGATGTAACCAAAAGTTTATGTTTTGTAAAAACCGTGGTAGGTATACATATTAGTTTCTTGTTGTGCAGGGGATACGCGCCCGGCGGCCGGCACTTTTGGGGATTTCCTCTTTTCCGCCTGGCACTTTTGGGGATTTCCTCTTTTCCGCTCGGCACTTTGGGGATTTCCACTTTACCGCCCGCTGGACAGAAAAAGGACGCTTTCGAACGCTTCAACCGTGGTCGAAAACCAAACTTTCGGTGCAGGCGTGACAAAAAATATATTTAATTTAATAATTAGAACGAAATATTTATATTTATTTATAACGCTACGTCGTGCGTCAACATGCCGGCCGTCTCAGCGCTGAAACCTRTTTAACCCCGCACCGCACTGGGCCATTTAACAGAGGCTAAAAATGAAATACGAATTTATTAAATGTTTCTAGTTCTTATCGCCATCTACCGAGAGTTTTATTGTAGACCATCGAAAAACCACCCAGTGAGCAATCTATAGTATTTATAATCAATGGTATTACCTATACATTAAATTAATTTGTATTAAATATTAAAACAACTCATTGATATAATATTTTCAGTGGAGAATCCCTTTAGAATCTAGCGAATTTTTAAATTGTATCTGCTTGTATTTACATACCTATTACTATTATGTTTAAAAATAGACAGATATTTTAATTCAATATTTTACAACATTTCATCATCAGTCATATTTTGAGCTTTTCGTTTATAAAGGCAAATTATTCTGTTTGTAAACAATAAAATCAGAGCTAAGTGCCAAAAATTGGTAAGTTTTAACAAAATTTATTTTGTTTAAACATTAACGAGATATTTCAGTATAACTAGTATCAAGCCATCAAGGTAGCATGACATCAAATGAAAATATACAATAACCTCATTCCTGGAGCTTAATTAAACACCAAAGCCCCAACGCCAAAGTTGAGAACACATGAAAATTTTGTATTTGCACTCCTGAAAAGTTGTAAAAATGTCGCTTGGCCCCTTCTTTYTTATATACCAGTCGATATGTCTACTATCAGGTCATGCATAGAATTAAACGTTATAAAAACGTAGTTTAAGGTTAATTTTTTTTGTTTTTATTGATTTAAAGCCCGGTAACTAATGTCATTATATATAGGCCATTGCATGTTGTGAGGTGGTACGGTAGGGGTTATTTTTGTGTATCGAGTTTGTAGGTTTTTTAAGTGGGTATGATTGTAACACGTGTTTGTGTATGTGTGGCAAGGATACGTTGCTAGAAATCCCAGGAGGTCACCCATCCGGGAGCTAGCAATTGCGGCCAGAGTACGTACACTCA